CTTACCACATCTAATCTCGTTGTCTATAGGTACGTATGAGCTGTTTGAAGAGTAACCCTCGAGAAATAGATGAAATCCCTCGTTGAGACGGAGGTAATCAACACTCTTTGACTACTAATCTTACTGCACATAATACTGAACACTGGTATCGGATTATTCACCGATTAAACTCAACTTCATTTTTTCTTCATGCAGTTTTTAAACTTGGATTACATTTTGAAGCATATTTAGGCATCCTATTTTTTATAAAACATCCTTTTTTATACCATATAAAGTGTGCCTATTTGATGACATCAAGTATTGTCAAAATCTGAGTTTTTCTTTTCAGTCAATCATTTAATTTTGGACTTATTTGTTATGAGAACGTATCAATGTAAGTACAACACAACATAAAAATACCTTATTTTTGACATGGCCCAAAATATTCCTGAATTTCTAGATATGGTCGACGAGTCCGAGTTCATGGTCAAGTAAGTTCCCTGTCCAGTCCAAATGATTGAAGCGCCGAAACCAAGCAACATAGACGTGGTGTACAGCAGCATGTTGGACGGCCAGAGGAACGGTGTCAAAAACAATCTGTAAATATTATGTATGCCCGCATGACATTACATCATTAGGTGAATTTCTAACTATCCGACTGAAATATGAATAGTGAATTGTGCTAAACATCTAAAATCATCATGTATCAATAATCTATACATTTCAGTATATACGTACACATAACATATCGATCCCAAGTAAATAGATTTCCGGCTACCAATTGCTCCAATTATTGMCGGTGCCAACCAGTTGCACAAAGCAAACACGCCATATATAATACACAGACTCGTGTACCCGTCACCCGTAAATGATGGATTGTCTTTTTCGATACTTTTCAAAACTGCTTTCTGAAACCAACATAACATTTTATTACTTTAAATAATATTACATCGTGAACTTTGTGTTATAATTTATATATAAATATTTTTTTTTATACCTATAATTCGTTAATATTATTCACATATTGTTAATTTTATTTGGTTTAGATTTAAGATGCTTTAATTATTGAACAAAATTTTTATAAAGGCTAATAAAAAATAAAAATACATCATGAATATTCTAAATACGTACACAAGTATGAGTATTTATATTAGCCTTTCTTTTAATAATCATAATATATAAATAATTTTTATACAAAAATGTTTCTTTAATATCCAAGACTACTTTTTTGCCTTTTTTGCCTCCGGGTATTATTTATATACAAAAACTGAAAATATTTATACTTAACCACATCCTTATTTCATAATTCTGGCTACGCTACAGTAAGTACCTACCTATCTCAAAAGAACTTATGTAATACCGAATTATTTAAGCTTGATTTTAATAATTTACTTTTTTCATTGCTGTCTTACTAAAGTATAATATTTACACTAATATTTGAATACTATTGTTACCTCGATATTGCTCACGGTCAAAAACGATGTAAAGACAAACATAAAACCTAAACCTAATATGCTGATATTCATTAGTCTCTTGTCCATTGTAGAAACACTGCTTTACTTTTGAAAATCTAGAAACATAGAAAAAATTCAATAGGTTTCCAGTAAACCTCGCCATTAAATATACCTACAACCATATATACTATATAGATAACTTGTAACTGTAATATTGATGTGTTAAATACCTAAATTTGAATTAAATGATAAATAATTGATTATGGAAAATGAGTCTAAGTAKTGACGGTGCAGTATCAGCCACTATTTCTGAGAATATTTAATATTTAATTTAATAATATAGTAAACTGCGGAAGTTAATTTTACTTTATAATTAATTAATATCATGAATTATGTTTCATGGAATGTTAATTTTAATATAATTTGTGCTAGCTATAGTTTTTTATTGTACATGATTTATACTACCTAGACATTTTATTTAAATGTTTATTATTTAGTTAATGGAGTTTTTCCGTCAATAAG